AGATATCGCAGTCTGATTTGATTCTAATTCTGTTCTTCCAAGAGCTTTGAGATTGGGTGAGGAGAAAACTCGAAGCCTTTGTAAATTAGTGTTGATCTGAAATACAGATACATTAAACAGATACAAGATTATGAATTCCATCACTCCAAAATAGGCTATTGTAGACTTTTTGAAAGAGTACACCTTCTTGTTTTTTCTTTTGTATTTAGGTATTTTACATGTGGATTAGAAAAACATCTTACTTCATAATCAGCTCGGGTCGGTTTCGGCTTTCCTCCGCATTCCACGATCTTAGGAGTTTCTCGCCATTTCCGGAGTACTTAATTACAACAACCATGACATTTGGATATAACCTTCACACGATAAGCCTTCCTCTATAATCACACGTTTGAGTCATTGTCGTCCACCGGAACTCCAATTGTTAACATTTTATGGGGCACTATTCTTGCTAATTGGTTGGAAGATGGAAGTGAAAATGACAAGAGTTCTTTGGCGTTAATTACTAAATGAAGAAAATGATACTCTGTTTGTCATTATTTTCAAACTCGGATAGAATTTCTTTCTTGGCCAAGTGTCCGATAGACTATTTGAAGTTGTCATTGCTCATATGTAACCAAAATAAAATAAAATAAAATAACCCAGAAATGAAAACAATAAAAAAAAATAAAAACCAAAGAACAAGTGTCGAAAGGAGAGCCAATGACTCTCAGGTCCTGGTCATCCGATCCAACGGCCAACGTTCGGTCGAAAGAAATCCAACGGCCAATAGACCCCACCTATCAGTCCACAAAGCGAATGGACGGCCCTTCTCTCACGTTCATCTGGACCCAAAGACTCCCCTTTTTCCGTCCATGGATGGACGATGGCCCCCTCACACACGTTCAAATGGACCCAAAGAAAACAGAGACAGAGACAGTAAGGCCCGTTTGGTAACTTATCAAATAGTAAAAATTTCTGTTCTTTTGTTCCTAAAATCAGTTTGGGAGCAGAAATCCGTTTGTTAAATTTTTTTGTGCCGGGCATAATTTTGCAAAAAATTGTTCCTTAATCGAGTTTTAGGCAACGAATCAAGAAACAAAAATAAGTAGGCTTCTTGATTCTGAACAATTTTTCCATTTCTGATTCTTCTTGATTTTCTTCTTTTTTTTGGTTTGTTGTTGTTCTTCGGCTTGCCACCCACCACCCGCCGGCCACCCGCGACCGGCCACAGGCCAAGGCTGGCGAGGGTGTCGCGGCCCTCTCCGGTGGCCGACGAGGGTCCCCCTCGCCGCCTGGGCGAGGACGGCTCGCGGCCGCTACGGCGAGGCCTCGCCCAGCCAAGGCGAGGCCGACCTCGCCGTCGCCACCAAGGTCCGTCGCCACCCAGGTCCGTCGCCTGGGTGGCGACAGCGAGGCCGGCGGTGAGGACCCCGATGCCCTCACTGGCCATGGCCAAGGATGGGAAGGGAAAGAAAAAAAAAAGAAAAAAAGAAAGAAATATTAAAATATTTTAAAATATTAATAAAATGAAATTTTGTGTAGTTACCATACGCATTTATGTTCTTTTTCTATTATAAGAATAGAAATTTTTGACAGTTACCAAACGTCTTTAAATGCTTAGAAATTGTTTCCGGGCACGGAATCAAAAAAAATCATTTCTGAGCAGAATCTGTTCCCGGGCATAGAATGGTTGCCATGCGCAGCCTAAGAGACACAGATGGCCTCACCTAATTGTCATGGTTGTTGTAATTAAGTAAGGATTGGCACTGTCTCCGAAATGGCAAGAAAATCCTAAGATCGTGGAATGCGGAGGAAAGCCGAAACCAACCCAAGCTGATCTGATTGCCAAAATATAGGCAAACAAAAGATAAAAAAGAAAACACGCATTTTATGGAAAGGGAAAAGTAAGAACTTGAATTGGATATAAATAAACATGTAATCGGAGAAAAATATCTCAAAAGAAGCACAAGATAACGTACTTATACACGATTAGTACCGCAAAAGAACTTGAAGGCACATCAAAGCGAACACCCTGCTGCACTAGTAAATACACCAACCTTATCACGGACCCAGCCACCAGCGACACACACCTCGGTCGAGAGATCAAAATGGGGAATGGTGGCGAGAAGCCTATCAATGATCATCTTCTCCTTCTCTGTCAGATTAATCTTTTCCTTCACTTGCACTCGTCCACATTGATTTGCAACTCAAGAACCCTGCTGCTTTAGTCGGGTTTCGCGCCTTAAGGCGACTCCAAACGCGTCCTAAAGCGAGAGAATTGCCACTACCGACAATGCTTCCAAGCAAAAGACTTGAACTGTTGCCGTTCAATAATGACGCTCTCATTGTCCTCCCTTACTCATACCGGAAACGTCCTTGCTTCAATTCACCCAGTTTTTCCCTTCCATCGCTAGGAGAATTCGGCGCTCGCGAGGGCCTTGCTTCTGCAGGGCAAATGCAAATTCCTTTTCCCTTCATATTCGAGGATTGCCACTCTAATTTGGAAAATATTTTTTAAAAAACGATCGTTTGTACCACTTACTAAAATGAATAAATAAAAAATATTTTCATCGTCCACGAAGATATTTAAACACAAATTGTTGTCAATAATGAAATATTTTCCATTGGCTAATTATTTTAAGCGATACAGGTGATCATTTTTAGGAAAAAAAAATTCAAATCATTCATTTTTCGCGAAACAAACGAAATCTAAGTATCAACAAAAAAAAAACAAAGTCTAAGCTTTCACCTAATGATATCCACCCATGAAAATAAAAATATCATCCAAGGAGAATTCTGAGTGTTGGACTTCATCACGCTTCAAAAAAGTGTATCACCTAAGATTTTATATCGTTCAAATGGCCCTCTTCCCATTGCAAAAACAAGAAAATACCCGCCACCTAAAATCAACCTTGGCGAAATTTAATAATCTTATTGGCTTTACTTTTACTTTTCCTATTAATCCACCATATGAATTATCATTTAGAAATTAATTGGGAATGACATAATTTATAACCTTTTATAAGATACACCTCAACTTTACATTCTCTACACTTACAAATCTATAAATACATATTAAAATAATGCATCTATCCATCTCTAAATCATTTGAGAACAAATACAGAAACGTGTCGCAAAGGATTTTTGTATAGTATGTATGCATGTTCATGTAAATTCTAAAGAGTTGTTTAATTCAATTTAATGGCATTATTAGAAGATTGTGGACTTAAAATGGCATAGCTCAATTTTGTTAATTCTAATAGTAATTTCTTATTTGATATCTACAAGTATTTTCTGCATTATAGAACTTATATAAATTCTCAACAGTTTTCTTTTTCTAATTTGAGTTAACTTTTAGAATGTTAAAAAAGATAAATTCGATTGCTAGTTTTCTGACCTATTCTTTTTAATTTTTCCTTTTTAACTATTTTTTCAACCTTCTTCGAGGTCCAATGAAAAGTTATTCATTAGAATGTTATTATAAAAACATGCTTATGTCTCTACGTGTAGTTCCACATATCGTTCGATGACTATAAAGATTCAATGTTGCCAATTTTTTTATACTCTTATCTATATATAATTATCAAAAAAAATTGAAATAATATCTTTGATTATTTATCAGCGTATTAACTCTGCACAACGCCCAAGTCTCCATGTACTTTAATTTGATAAAGGTCTTATTTCGTCAACTCCGTCGATCAATTCATGTTGATCTTGATGGAGCATGCTAACGTGGCAATTTTAATCTACACCATACTAGTGGCCCGAAATAAGTACACACTACTTTGTAAAAAAATAGATGAAGTTCCATGTCCCTCCTTGAAATAATTGATCTCTTACCACATATTGTTTTAATATAAATAAATAAATAAAAAGTGATTCAAGAGCTAATTTTATCATGCCATCCCAATCCCTTTCCACAGTCACCACCAATGTTGCATTGATCATGCTGAGGAATAATTCGCCAGTAATCTTTACACCTTCATTCCCCAGCTACGTACTTTGGTTCTTTGATCAGGTCCAAGTACATCACAAACAAGGCCGTCGGACCAAGCTCAAGCATAGGTACAGTTTAGATTCTGGTCGAGTTATGCTTGTGTCGGTATTTCGTCGTAAACAATTTTGGAGGTGAAGCTGCCCTGCTGCTGTGTACACTATCAATCATCTTCCTTCACCGATCATGCAGAACAAATCTTCTCTCGAACTCCTGCACGGCACTCCCCCCGAGTTAGACTCCTCTCAAACCGATTGGTTGCACATGCTATGTCCTTCTTCGACCTTGTGAACGCACCAAACTCGATCCGTGTGCATGACCTCTTTGTTTCCTTGGACTTAGTATCGAACATAGGGATATAGATGTTAGAATCCTCTCTCTACTCGTCTTCAAGTCTCTCGTCATGTTCTTTTCGAAGAACGCGCAATGTTTTCATCATGTTGTCTCCTCAACTTCCATATCTTATTTTACTAATCTCGATATTGAGTTATTCTCGGATAACCTAACTCCAGGTTTGTCAGTGTCACGCCCCGAACCCGAATGAGCACGCAACATCCCTCTGGGGTTGTCAAGCATGCGACATCTCAGGACTTGTCGCCGACCCAACTTAACTCAAACGAGGAACGCGAGCGAAAGCAAATTCGAACTCACCATACAACATACAATGAAACAGGGTAGTAGAGAGAGACGAACGATACACATCAACAAACCGCTTTTTAAAAACATAATGTTACTTACAAACGGCACAAGGTACAAGCCTTACTAGAGGTCACTATCGACGGACCACGCACAACAAAAAGGATCGGGTGGTTGGTGAGCTTAACTCCTCTACAAAAAGGGGCACTCACGGGGTAACTCGACCTATTCTCAATCCCCGTAGTACCTTGGCAGCGTCTCCGGATCAATCATGGTCGCGGGTCTGAAATGGTTATATTACAACAATGAGAATAAATCTCAATAAGCAACTACCTAAGCCTCGCTTAGGCCAAAGCGTACCTCCGAACAATTCTAAACATGCAATTCGAACAATCGACGTGCCATAAACAATCACAGGCGTCCTTACCTCGCCTCGGCACATACACAAGCCCTGCACGTTAGAATATCGCCATAACATGGCCAATTGCTCATCAAACAAGCACACTTCAAATCATGGCATAATCATAAGAAACATACTCAATATTCCGGATTTCGAGCATTCACCAATGCATAGCATACGTTCACATGTATCCAGGTTATTAACGGCCCCTCGGGCCACCGAACTCCCACCGGTCTACTGGCGTAACCAAGTATCGTCCCGCTACGTCGGCAACGGCAACGTTGGGGATCGAACACCCCCCGGCAAGCCGGGTACCCAACGGCATTCCACTTAGGAGCATCGATCCGGCCTCCACCGCGATCGGCATCGTCTGGGATCAAACACCCCCCGGCAACCCCGGGTACCAGACGGCATCCGAACTCCCGCCGGGCATCGTCTAGAACTCCCGCCTAGACGGAACGTGATGTGATCATGCACATACATTATCCACTCAATGCCAATTTTTATCTTTGAGAATTGGTCACAGGCCAACCAATTACTTACTCAGCCAATAAAATGCCACACTTTTCATTGATAACCCCGCCTTTGAATAATTGCCCGAAAATGAGAAAACCGAGTATACACATAAATGGGGGCAAAAGTACACCAGAAGTGCCATAACTTGTGTATGGCGATCACTTTGGTGCCAAAACTTTTTTTCGGATCACTTTGGTGCCAAGTCGGAGGAAAAGAGATCACTTTAGTGCCAATTTGGCCGGAAATTCGACGTGGCATTTTTTATTATTTTTTGACGCCTACGTGGCTCGCCGGAGGATGAGTCAGCGTGTACAGTCAGCATTTTTTATTTTAAATAAATTTTTCCAGCATGTACAGTCAGCATTTTTAATTTTAAATAATTTTTTTCCTTTTTTTTTCTCTTCTTTCCTTTTTCTTTTCTTTTCTTTTTTTTCTTTTCTCCCCTCGCCGGCCGGTTGCCGGTGGCCAGCCGGCCACCGGCGAAGCTCGGGAAGGGCTGGGCGAGGGCGACCTTGCCCATGGCCGGCTAGGGGCGGCCTCGACAACACAGCGAGGCCGCCCTCGCCGGCCCAGTAGGGCCGCCCTCGCCGGACTGGCGAGGCGACCTCGCCGGCGTCGCGGCGACCCTCGCCGGCGTCGGGCGGGGAAGCCCTCGCCTGGGCGGGCGAGGGTCGCCCACACCCGACTCAAGCGAGGGTCGCCCTCACCGGATCTCGCGAGGGCGACCCTCGCCGGATGCCGCCTAAGCGAGGGCTTCCTCGCCGGACGCCGACGAGGGCCGACTTAGGCGAGGGTGACCCTCGCCCACTCAGGCGAGGGCTTCCCTCGCCAGATCCGGCGAGGGCAGCCCTCGCCTGGGCCGGCAAGGGGTGGCCTTGCTTGTCGCCGGCGAGGCCGCCCCTCGCCGGCCATGGGCAAGGCCGCCCTCGCCCAGCCCTTCCCGGGCTTCGCCGGTGGCCGGCCGGCGAGGGGAGAAAAGAAAAAAAAGAAAAGAAAAGAAAAAGGAAAGAAGATGAAAAAAAAAGGAAAAAATTTATTTAAAATTAAAAATGCTGACTGTATACGCTGGAAAAAATTATTTAAAATAAAAAATGCTGACTGTACACGCTGACTCATCCTCCGGCGAGCCACGTAGGCGTCAAAAATTAATAAAAAATGTCATGTCGGATTTCCGGCCAAATTGGCACTAAAGTGATCTCTTTTCCTCCGACTTGGCACCAAAGTGATCCGAAAAAAAGTTATGGCACCAAAGTGATCGTCGTACACAAGTTATGGCACTTCTTGTGTACTTTTGCCCATAAATGGGTGATTCCGGGCAATTCTGGGCAGTAACACAGTCACCGAATTTCCTTTAAAATAAATAGTAAATCAACTTCAAAAATTCTGAAATTTGGATATTCTATACAAAACATCTTGATAAACATTTTTTATGGAGGACACAAAATCCATTTCTGACTGTAAACGCCTCGTTTTGACACTCAAAGCCGGACAGAACCTGGTTCGCTCGGACAGCCCCTCAGACCATCAAAAATACAACTCACTCAGTACCCAAATCACTTTGGAAAGCTCTTAAATTTTTATATGCCATAGACACGGATGTTATTAACGATTTTTGTGAAGAATGTTTGTTGAAAAGAGGTCTGGAAAAATTTATAAAAAATCGGAAAGACAAGAAGGTCGGGTGAACAATAAATCCGGCGGACTGAATTCAGTCCAAAAATGGACTTATGAATGACCCTAAATGATCTCTAAAAATTTCAGATTTAATATATGTCATACTTCAAGATGTTATGAACAACTTTCATGAAGAACACTTCCTCAAATTCGGCACCCACAAGTCACAGAAAAAATAGTAAAATCCAGCGACGCAGCGGCAACCTTACCGGAAATCAACCAACAAGCACCACCAAGCGAACCAAGCACAACCAGCCGCTAAACCAACTATCCACAGCCCTTAAAACATCCCTAACATGTCCATTAGTCATCTCTTAGCCTAGTCAAGGGTTAGGAAGCCACTTACTTGGAAAAACCCAAGCAAACCGAGCAAGAAATGAAAGAAATGGTGGTGCGGTGGGCAGCGGCGGTCTCCGGCGGTGAGCAGCGGTTTCCGGTGACCTGGACGGCGGCTGCGGGTCAGGCGTGCAGCCAGAAGAAGCCAAGAAGCAGCAAAGCAGAAGCAGTAGGAGCAGCGAACCAGCAAGAAGGAAAAGAAAACAGAAGAAGAAGCAGAGAGGAGGAGGAGTCGGCCACGTGAGGGAGGGAGAAGGAGAAAAAGTCAAGGGAGAGAGAGAGAAAGACATTATGAAAAGAGAGAGAGAAGGGGTACAAACTAGATCCTAACCCTCTCAAGTGTGATTTAAGGGCCACAATTCCATCTTGTGGGTCAAGCCAAGATCTAAAGGCTCCCAATAATCCCAATTCTAAATTTAAATAAAAGGATAAAATGCATAAAAAGGATTTAAATAAAGAGAAAGGTATATTGGCCTAAATTCACACCCGGTCGAAATTTCACTTTTCACCAATTCCGGGCAATATCGACGCTAGCCACAATAATATCGACACCGTCCAATTAAATTCGTCATGAAACTCCGAGAAATTCGACACCAAAGTTCGGGCTCTAAATAACGGCCAAATTCAATCGGATGCGATTTTAGCGAAATCTCAAATTTAAAAATAACCCGAGAGTGATCAGTTCTGGGCGAGATTTAACTATAAGCGCACCGACGAAATACACGTTTTATAAATCTAAAAACTAGGTCGAAATTCGGAATATCACAGTCAGGGCTCAAGTAAGTTCCCACCATTGCGGCCACGCCTTTGGTCGAGTCTCCCTCATATGTGTATTCGAATGTTGAGAACAAGCGTCACGTTACTCGAACACATTTTTTGAGGAACTATTGATCTTGTCCATGTCCATTCTGACGTTCAAACCGCGGATAGTCTTACAAAGGCTCCATTTCTTGCTTGATTTTCTAGTTTCCAAACTCCACCTGATTTCCTTAGAACCACCTTGATTTTGAGGGGAGATATTATAATATTATCAGAATATTTGGAGATTTCATTGGATTGACACAACAACGTATTACAATTAAAAGGTATTCAACGATACGTGAAGGAAGGGAAGTAGTCTAATGAGAAAACTATTTACCTAGGCAATAAGATAAATTATAGAGTCAATTTTAATTTCATCAAATCTGACATCTCGAAATAATTTGAAAATATTCTGATAATGATGTTACGATATCATCCTCGTCAATCGTCAAATAAAACTCTCTTTTTGCAACCAAAGGCACGTAGCACCACATTATCTAATGTAACAAAAATTAAGATTAATAGGAATTACTTAAATTTTATTAGAAATAAGGAAATTCAGAAAAAGAAAATAGTGAGATAGAGTACATACATTGAACTAGTATAAGAGTTTGGCTTTGGCCCCAGTGCTAAACAGTACAAATTAAGACAGGGAATAGAACCATCCGAATTATTATGAATTTGCTTCAAACCATGCCCCTCTACTTGGCTCCATACCTAGCCCTGATCTTATGCAGTTCCTTGAGTACTTCGGCCACGCCCATCCGATCCCGCGGCCATTCCATCGAACATGCAACTCCAACCGTTAGGACGGAGGCAATGCAGTTTCTCATCCTCTCGGTGTCCCGCTCGTCTTCTCCATTAAAAATGGCCGAGTCCACGATCTCCGCAGCTCGGTGTGGCAGAGCCACCTTAACAAAGGTGTGGAGATTCAAATGGTCCTTGAAAGCCTCTTCTGTGGGTCTCCTTCCGGTGAACATTTCCAATAAAAGAATGCCGTAGCTGTACACATCGCCTTGCGTGGATACCATATCCCCCATGCCATACTCTAATATAGTGTACATTAAGCAATATGCAATGAAAATCCAAATTCATCTCATGACCAACGCAGATAAAACTTAGACAATTAATGAGAAAATTTTCTTACCGGGAGGGACATAGCCTATGGAACCCCTCATTGCCACTGAGCTGCTACGGTTGTCAATGTCCATGGCCTCTGTTGTCGCGGCGGAGCTGATCTTCGCCAGCCCAAAATCCCCAACACGCCCCATCATTTCGTTGTCCAAAAGGACATTACTCGGCTTCAGATCTCCGTGTACAATCTTTGGGCTACAAGCCTCGTGAAGATATTTGATCGCGGAAGCTATGTCAATGGCAATGTCTAACCTCTGCATTAGTCCCAAACGTCCTGGTTGTCCTTGTTCATGTTCATGCCTAACGTCTTCTTCATTTCCTTGGTGTATCCAATTCTCTAAGCTCCCATTAGCCATGTATTCGTATAATAGAGCTTTGAAATCGTTGCCGCAATGGTCCACGCTTGAGCACACGTTCGATATCTTCACGAGATTTCGGTGTCTTATGGCCCCTAAGGTTCGACATTCCGAGACGAAGCTCTTCGAAGCACCTCTGTGGCCCAAGTTGAGCACTTTAACTGCCACCCAACCACCTTCCTGTGTAGTTCCTTTATAGACAGTACCATATCTCCCTTTACCGATCACATTGTTCTCAGAGAATCCATCGGTGGATCTAAAGAGTTCCTCGTAAGAGACCCTCGAGAATCGATGTTCAAACGGCAATTCAGTTGCAGAGAGATTTTCTTTCGACTTCTTTCTTCGGTACCAAATGATAAACAAGCAAAGACACAGAATGAAGCCTGACAGGATGGCAGCCACTGTGGTGATTACTATAACTTTTTTGGTCGAAAATGGTTTAGAGGTGTTCGATTTGCAAGAAGGAAGGTTTAGTTCTGCAATACCTCCACAGAGATTACTATTCTCAAAGACGGACACTGCACTAGCATTGAGAAATACTCCTTGCTTCGGAACTTCTCCTTCGAGCTTGTTTAAAGATAGATTCAAGTAATTCAGATCCGTAAGTTGAACGAGAAACCTCGGGATTTCACCAGAGAAGTCATTATGGGAAAGATCCAACTCTCGTAAGCCCCGTAATGTGCCTAAAGCCGGAGGAATTTCGCCATGAAAGGAATTGATGGCCAAGCTGAGCCGTTCCAAGAGCAAGCACTTGCTGATGGAGCTAGGAATTGGTCCTGTCAGCTTATTGTAAGACAGATCCAGTTCGACAAGATTGGCCAAGGACCCAACTTGAGACGGAAGAGATCCGCTCAACTGGTTATGTGCCAAGCTGAAGATAATCGAAATGGTAGAAAGACTAAGAACCTCCTCTGGAATTGAACCACTCAGATTATTGTTCGAAAGCTCGAGCTCGATTAGCTGCCTGCAGTTACCAAGACTCTGCGGTATTTCCCCGTAAAAGTTGTTGAACAGCAGGTGAAGGTGATTCAATAACGTCAAATTGCCGATCGATGACGGGATCTCTCCCGTTAACATGTTTGCGCTTAATTCCAATACGTGCAAGTTATGGAGTGCTCCGATAGAAGAAGGAACATGACCGCTGAGCGAATTGTTTGCTAAGCCAAGAAAGGACAGGTTGAAGAGATTGCCAATACCTGGAGGAATGGTTTCGAACATTGGGTTGGACGACATAGAAATTACTATAACGCTGTTGGAAAGATTGCCAATGGAATCCGGCAACGGACCTTCAAGAAAATTGAAGTCTACCCCAATAATTTGCAGCCTTGAACAATTAGTCAATGAGGTAATGAAACTGAAGTCATCTCGCAACTGGTTAAAACCAAGGAGCATTCTTTCAAGAGCTTTTAGCCTTCCAAGATTTGCCGGCGGCCGTCCGTGAAAACTGTTATTGTTAAAGTAGATGTACTCAAGGCCGGAGGCATTCGATAAGGACGGAGGTATGACGCCAGTAAACAAATTGTTCCCAAAATTAAGATAAGTGAGATGAGGAAGAGTATCGCCGATATAAGGGGGAATGCTCCCTCTCAATTGATTGTCGCCGGCGCTGAAGGAGAAAATGCCAGAGATGTTGAAGATTGCTGGAGGGATCTCACCGGTGAGTTGGCTAAACGCCAATTGAACAAACTCCAAACCACGAAACTTGGACAATGTCTCGGGAATCTCTCCTTGCAACCCCTTTTCTGAGACGGAAAGCATGTGAAGTTGGGAGAGATTTCCAACAGAACGGGGAATGGATCCTGTAAGATTGTTGCCAGCCAAACCTAAAGCTTGAAGCTTCGGCAAAGAGCCGAGATCATCAGGAATTTTGCCCACAAGCTGGTTATCAATGAGATTCAAAATCTCAAGGTTTGAGCACTGAGAAAGATTGGTGGGCATTTGTCCGCGGAAAGAGTTGTTACTAAGACCGAGACGGGCGAAGGCGAAACAAATGGCCAATACTTAGTGGAATTTCTCCTCGAAAGCTGTTGTTCCGTAGAACGAGGCTTCTCAGGAAAGAGAGGTTCCCAACGTGAGGTGATAGAAGACCGCCCAAGCCTTTCGACGTCAGGTCGAGGGACACGACCCTTCCGGGATGCCGTCCACTGCATACGACACCTTGCCACTCGCAGTGATGAGAAGAGTCATTCCATGAGCTCAGAACTCTGAGCGGATCCCCATGCACACTGTCTCTGAAGTAGATCAAAGCGAGCCGATCCGTCTGGTTGGTTTGCATCGCGAAGCTCGTCCATAATGGGAGTTGGGCATAGTAAAACAGGAACATAATCGCCACATGCTTTTCCATTGGGACTGGGGTTTGTGTCCTAACAAGCTGGCAGCTGCAAGCGAAGTCTCTTCCGGATTGAACTAAATAAGAAATGAAGACCTTCAAAAGCATGTGTTTCCATTGATTAGACACATTTTAACGGAGGCTTCATCAAATCGGATCATCTTCTCTAATTGACGAAAGAATTGAAATGCAAATAATTTTGTGGCACGGGCCGCTCGAAAGATTGCTAATGCGCAGCTAAAATTCGCAAACGACTCGCCTTGAACATGAAATTACAACATCTCTGTACAACTGAATTAACTGAAACTCACAAATTACAACATCAGATGATCAAAGTAAAGAAACGTACCAGAAGCGGCGGCGTCGAGCTCTGGAACAGCAACGCGTCGAGCTTGTCCGCAAGAACCGAAGATTTAGGTAGCGCATGATAATCATTCTGGTTTTGTCCAGAACTAGTTTTCTGTTCCTAGAAACAGTTTTGGAACAGAAACCCGTTTGGTAACGCAATATTATTTTTCTATTTCTGGGACAATTTTTTGTTCCAGAACCGATTCTGAACCAGAAATCAGAACAAAAAAAAAGTAGGTTTTCTATTTTTAGACAAAAAATGAGAATCATTTCTGAGAGAACTCTTTCTTCAAAACACATATTCATCTTGAAGTCACGATATTTGAGGTGAGAAAAAAAAGCAAAAAATCAAAAATTTCAAAACTTTACATAATGGTTTAGAATCTGTGGCTACCCACTTTGAGCGAAATTTAAATTTTTTTAGGTGCCGAAAAAAATAAAAAATAAAAAAAAAATAAAAATTTTAAAATTTCAAAATTTCCACAAAATGGCTTAGAATACCTATGCCACCCACTTTGAAATAAATTTAATTTTTTTTAGATGCCAAAAAAAAAAAATAATCAAAAAATCTAAAATTTAAAAACTTCACATAATGTCTTAGAATACCATTGCCACCCAATTTCAAATAAATTTTATTTTTTTAGGTGCCGAAAAAATTAAAAAAGCAAAAAATAAAAATTTCAAAACTTCACAGAATGGCTTAGAATACCCGCGCCATCCACTTTGAAATAAATTTAAATTTTTTGTCTTTGAAAAAAATAAAAAAATAAAAAATTTCAAAACTTCACAAAATGGCTAGAATACCTGTGCCACCCACTTTGAAATAAATTTAATTTTTTTAGATGCCAAAAAATAAAAATAAGCAAAAAAGCAAAAATTTCAAAACTTCACAGAATGGTTTAAAATACCTGCGGCCACCCACTTTGAGCCAAAATTTATTTTTTTTAGAAGCCGAAAAAAATAAAAAAAAAAGCAAAAAATCAAAAATTTCAAAACTTCACATAATGGCTTAGAATGCATGTGGCCATTCACTTTGAGCGAAATTTAAATTTTTTTAGGTGTCGAAAAATATAAAAAATAAAAATTTCAAAACTTCACGTATCGCTTAGAATACCCTGCCACCCACTTTGAGCGAAATTTAATTTTTTTAGGTGCCGAAAAAAATAAAAATAACCAAAAAAGCAAAAATTTCAAAACTTCACATAATGGCTTAAAATACCTGTGGCCACCCACTTTGAGCGAAATTTTATTGTTTTAGGTGCCGAAAAAAATAAAAAAATAAAAAAAGCAAAAAATCAAAAATTTCAAAACTTCACAGAATGGCTTAGAATGCATGTGGCCATCCACTTTGAGTGAAATTTAATTTTCTTTAGATGCCGAAAAAAAAATTAAAAAATCAAAAAAATCAAAAATACCATTTGGGCACCTAAAAAAAATTAAATTTCACTCAAAGTAGGTGGCTAGAGGCATTCTAAGTCATTCTGTGAAGTTTTGAAATTTTTGATTTTTTATGTTTTATTTTTTTTTTTCGGCACCTAAAAAAATTTAAATTTCGCTCAAAATGGCTGGCCACAGATATTCTAAGTCATTCTGTGAAGTTTTGAAATTTTTGATTTTTTGCTTTTTTTTTCACCTCCAAAAATTAAAATTTTACTCAAAGTGGGTGGCCACAAGTATTCTAAGTCATTCTGTGAAGTTTTAAAATTTTTGAGTTTTTGAATTTTTTTGGGCACCTTAAAAAAATTTAAATTTCACTCAAAGTGAGTGGCCACATGTATTCTAAACTATTCTGTGAAGTTTTGAAATTTTTGATTTTTTGATTTTTTTTGGGCACCTAAAAAAATTTAAATTTCACTAAAAGTGGGTGGCCACAGGTATTTTAAGTCATTCTATGAAGTTTTGAAATTTTTGAAAAAATTCAACAAATTTCCTATTTTCCCGAAATCTGAATTTTTTTTATTTTTTGAAATTGTGATGAATTTTTCTAGAATTTTTCAATTTTTTTGGATTTTTTGAATTTTTTTGAGATTTTTAGTAATTTTTTGGATTTTCTAATTATTTTTATTCCATTTCTAAAAAAATGGATTTTTGTTCCTGGAAATAGAATTTTGTGTTGTTTATCAAACGGGTTTTTGTTTCAGGAAATAGAAATTTTGTGCTGTTATCAAACGGGTTTCTGTTCCAGAAATAGAAATTTTTTGTCATTATCAAACGGGTTTCTTTTCTTAAAAACTCATCCTGGAAACAGAAATAGATTTTTCTCTTTCTGTTTCAGGAACTCATTCTGGAACAGAATGGTTATCATTCGCTACCTTAGTCCACAAGCAGCTCAACCCACGCCGGCACAGATACAAATTGTCCAAATTGTCGGGGATCCAAAACCACCCTTTGACCAGCACACTGACGTGGCTCAGCCGCAGCTCGCCGCACCCTGATTCACCATCGAAAGCCGCGAGTAATCATGGAAAATAGGCTATATTGTAGACTTTTTGAAAGAGTACCTCTTCTTGTTTTTTCTTTTGTGTTTAGGTATTTTTCATGTGAATTAGGAAGACATCTTACTTCACGATCGGCTCGGGTCGGTTTTGGTTTTCCTCCGCATTCCACTATCTTTGGAGTTTCTCGCCATTTCCGGAGTACTTAATTACAACAACCATGACATTTGAATATAACCTTCACACGATAAGCCTGCCTCTATAATATCACACATTTGAGTCATTGTCATCCCCCGGAATTTCTTTCTTGGCCTCCTGTCCGATAGACTATTTGAAGTTGTCATGGCTCATATGTAACCAAAATAAAATAAAATAAACCCAGGAACGAAAACAATTAAAAAAGAACAAGTCGAAAGGAGAGCCAATGACTCTCAGGTCAGTCTCAAACAGGTCGTCCTTCGCATATCAATCTCAATCCAACGGCCCAAGATGGGCCGAAGACTTGCACAGTTTTTGTTGACTTGAGCGGCCTGTCAACATCAAGCCCCGTTGACCCGGAGTCTTCGCTGATGTTTACCTTTACAGTCGAATGTTGGTCCTGGTCAATTGGTCATCCGATCCAACGGCCAATGTTCGGCCGAAAGAAATCCAACGGCCAATAGACCCCCCCCCCTTCCTCAGTCCACAAAGCGAATGGACGGCCCTTCTCTCACGTTCAACTGGTCCCAATGACTTCCCTTTTTCCGTCCATGGATGGACGACTGCCCCTTCTCACACGTTCAAATGGACCCCAAGGAAACAGAGACAGAGACAGAGATAGAGATGGCCTCACCTAAATGTCATGGCGGTTGTAATTAAGTAAGGATTGGCGCTGTCTCCGGCAATGGCGTGAAACTCCTAAGATCGTGGAATGCGGAGGAAAGCCGAAACCGACCCGAGCTGATCTGTTTGCCAAAATATAGGCAAACAAAAGAAAAAGAAAAAAAAAAAGAAAACACACGTTTTATGGGGAGGGGAAAGTAAGAACTTGAATTGGATATAACTAAACATGTAATTGGAGAAAAATATCTCAAAAGAAGCACAAGACAACGTACTTATACATTATTAGTACCGCAAAAGAACTTATAAGGCACATCAAAGCGAACACCCTACGACACTACCAAATACACCAACCTTATTACGGACCCAGTCACCAGCCACACGCAGCTCGATAGAGAGATCAAAGTGGCGAATGGTGGCGAGAAGCCTATCAAAGATCATCTTCTCCTTCTCTGTCAGATCGATCTTTTCCTTCACTTGCACCGCCGGCAAATTTGTCGACATTGATTTGCAACTCAAGAACCCTGCTGCTTTAGTCGGGTTTTGCGCCTTAAGGGGACTCCGAACGCTTCCTAAAGCGAGAGAATTGCCACCACCGGCGATTCTTCTAAGAAAAAGACGTGAACTGTTGCCGTTCAATAATGACGCTCTCATTGTCCTCCCTTACTCATGCTGGGAACATCCTTGCTTCAATTCACTCAATATTTCTCTTCCATTGCTAGGAGAATTCGGTGCTCGCGAGGGCCTTGCTTCTGCAGGGCAAAAGCGAATTCGTTTTCCCCTCATATTCAAGTATTGCGACTCTAATTTGGAAAATATTTTTATAAAAACGATCTCTTATATCACTTACAAAAATGAATGAATAAATTAAAAGTATTTTTATCGTCCATGAAAATATTTAGACATAAATTGTTGTTGATAATGAAAATATTCCATTGGCTAATTATTTTAAGCGATACAAGCGATCATTTTGAGGAAAATATTTTCCAAATCATTCATTTTTCACGAAACAAACGAAATCTAAGTATCGACAAAAAAAAAACAGAGTCTAAGTGTATCACCTAATGATACCTAGCCATGAAAAGAAAAATTTCATCCAAAGAGAATTCTGAGAGCTGGACTTCATCATGTTTCGAAAAAATGTATCACCTAAGATTTTATATCGTTCAAATGGCCCTCTTCCCATTGCTAAAACAAGAAAATACCCGCCACCTAAAATCAACCTTGGCAAAATTTAATAATCTTATTGGCTTTACTTTTACTTCTCCTATTAATCCACCATATGAATTATCATTTAGAAATTAATTGGGAATGACATAATTTATAACCTTGTATAAGATAAACCTCCACTTCACATTCTCTACACTCATAAATCTATAAATACATATTAAAATAATGCATCTATCCATCTCTAAATCATTTGAGAACAAATACAGAAATGTGTAGCAAAGGATTTTTGTATAGTATCTATGATTTTGTACGGTATGTATGCATGTACTTTTAAATTCTAAAGAGTTGTTTAATTCAATTTAATGGCATTATGAGATAGAGTATATACATTTGAGTTTGGCTTTGGCCCCAGTGGTAAACAGTAAAAATTAAGACAGAGAATAGAACCATCCGAATTATTATGAACTTGCTTCAACCAAGCCTTTCTAGTTGGCTCCATACCTAGCCCTGATCTTGTGCAGTTCCTTGAGTACTTCGGCCATGCCCATCCGATCCCACGGCGATTCCATCGAACACGCAACTCCAACCGTTAGGACAGAGGCAATGCAATCTCTCATCCTCTCGGTGTCCCGCTCATCTTCTCCGTTAAAATGGCCGAGTCCACGATCTCCGTGGCTCGGTGTGGCAAAGCCACCTTAACAAAGGTGTGGATATTCAAATGGTCCTTGAAAACCTCTTCTGTGGGTCTCCTTCCCGTGAACATTTCTAATAAAAGAATGCCGTAGCTGTACACATCGCCTTGCGTGGATACCATATCCCCCATGCCATACTCTAATATAGTGTACATCAAGAAATATGCAATGAAAATCCAAATTCATCTCATGGCCAACGCAAATAAAACTTAGACAATTAATGAGAAAATTTTCTTACCAGGAGGGACATAGCCTATGGAACCCCTCACTGCCACTGAGCTGCTACAGTTGTCAATGTCCATGGCCTCTGTTGTCGCAGCAGAGCTGATCTTCGCTAGCCCGAAATCCCCAACTCGCCCCATCATTTCGTTGTCCAGAAGGACATTACTCGGCTTTAGATCTCCGTGTACAATCTTTGGGCTACAATCCTCGTGAAGATATTGGATCGCGGAAGCTATGTCAATGGCAATGTCTAACCTCTGCCTTAGTCCCAAATGTCTTGGTTTTCCAAGTTCATGTTCATGCTCGACGTCTTCTTCGTTTCCTTGGTGTATCCAATTTTATAAGCTCCCATTAGCCATGTATTCGTATAATAGAGCTTTGAAATCGTTGCCGTGATAGTCCACACTTGAGCACACGTTCGATATCTTCACGAGATTTCGGTGTCTTATGGCCCCTAAGGTTTGACATTCCGAGACGAAGCTCTTCGAAGCACCTCTGTGGCCCAAGTTGAGCACTTTAACAGCCACCCACCCGCCTTCCTGTGTAGTTCCTTTGTAGACAGTACCATATCTCCCTTTACCGATCACACTGTTCTCAGAGAATCCATCGGTGGATCTAAAGAGTTCCTCATAAGAGACCCTCGAGAATCGGTGTTCAAACGGCAATTCAGTTGCAGAGAGATTTTCTTTCGACTTCTTTCTCCGGTACCAAATGAAAAACAAGAAAAGACACAGAATGAAGCTTGACAAGATGGCAGCCGCTGGGGCGATTACTATAACTTTTTTTGTCGAAAATGGTTTAGAGGTGTTCGATTTGCAAGAAGGAAGGTTTAGTTCTGCAATACCTCCACAGAGATTACTATTCTCAAAGACGGACACTGCACTAGCATTGAGAAATACTCCTTGCTTCGGAACTTCTCCTTCGAGCTTGTTTAAAGATAGATTCAAGTAATTCATATCCGTAAGTTGAACGAGAAAGCTCGGGATTTCACCAGAGAAGTCATTATGGGAAACATCCAACTCTCGTAAGCCCCGTAACGTGCCTAAAGCCGGAGGAATTTCGCCATCAAAGGAATTGACTGCTAAGCTGAGCCGTTCCAATTGCAAGCACTTGCTGATGGAGCTAGGAATTGGTCCCGTCAGCTTATTGTAAGACAGATCCAGTTCGACAAGATTGGCCAAGGACCCAACTTGAGACGGAAGAGATCCGCTCAACTGGTTATGTGCCAAGCTGAAGATAATCGAAATGGTAGAAAGACTAAGAACCTCCCCTGGGATTGAACCACTCAGATTATTGTTCGAAAACTCGAGTTCGATTAGCTGCCTGCAGTTACCAAGACTCTGTGGTATTTCCCCGTAAAAGTTGTTGAACGACAGGTAAAGGCGATTCAATAACGTCAAATTGCCGATTGATGACGGGATCTCTCCCGTTAACATGTTTCTGCTTAAGTACAATACGTGCAAGTTATGGAGTGCTCCGATAGAAGAAGGAACACGACCGCCGAGCGAATTGTTTGCTAAGCTAAGCAAGGATAGGTTGAAGAGATTGCCAATACCTGGAGGAATGGTTCCGTACATTGGGTTGTCCGACGTAGAAATTAGTGTAACGCTGTTGGAAAGATTGCCAATGGAATCCGGCAACGGACCTTCAAGAAAATTCTCGTCCACCTGAATAATTTCCAGCCTTGAACAATTAGTCAATGAGGTAATGAAACTGAAGTCATCTCGCAACTGGTTAGAACCAAAGTTCATTACTTCAAGAGCCTTCAGCCTTCCAAGATTTGCGGGCATCGGTCCATGAAAACTGTTATTGTTCAAGTAGATGTACTGAAGGCCGGAGGCATTCGATAAGGATGGAGGTATAACACCAGTAAACAAGTTGCTCCGAAAACTAAGAAAAGTGAGAGAAGGAAGAGTGTCGCCGATATATGGGGGAATGCTCCCTCTCAATTGGTTGACACTGGCGCTGAAGTGGAAAATGCCGGAGATGTTGAAGATTGCTGGAGGGATCTCGCCGGTGAGTTGGTTATACGCCAATGCAACAAACCTCAAACCACGAAGCTTGGACAATGTTTCGGGAATCTCTCCTTGCAACCCATTATATACGACAGAAAGCGTGTAAAGTTGGGAGAGATTTCCAATAGAATGAGGAATAGATCCTGTAAGACTGTTCTTAGCCAAACCTAAAACTCGAAGCTTTGACAAAGAGCCGAGATCATCAGGAATATTGCCCACAAGTTGGTTATCGACGAGATTCAAACTCTCAAGGTTTGAGCACTGACAAAGATTGGTGGGCATTTGTCCGCGGAAGGAGTTGTTACTAAGATCGAGACGGCGAAGGCGAAACAAATGGCCAATACTTTGTGGAAGTTCGCCGCGAAAGCTGTTGTTCTGTAGAACGAGGCTTCTCATGAAAGAGAGGTTTCCGACATGAGGCGATAGAAGACCGCCCAAGCCTTTCGACGTCAGGTCGAGGGACACGACCCTTTCGGGATGCCGTCCACTGCATACAACACCTTGCCACTCGCAGTGATGAGAAGAGTCATTCCACGAGCTCAGAACTCCGAGCAGATCCTCATCCACACAGTCTCTGAAGTAGATCAAAGCGAGCCGATCCGTCTGGTTGGTTTGCATCGCTGAACTCGTCCATAATGAGATTTGGGCATAGTAAAACAGGAACATAATCACCACATGCTTTTCCATTGTGACTGGAGTCTGTGTCCTAACAAGCTGCAAGCAAAGTTTCTTCCGGATTGAACTAAATAAGAAACGAAGACCATCAAAGGCATATGCGTTTCCATTGATTAGACACCGTTTTACACGCGTATTGCATAAAATGTTTTGAAAAGTCAAAAAGTTAAAGAAAAAGAGGAATTTCGCGTACGTGAAGGCTTCGTCAAGTCGAATCAACTTCGTCAAGTTGAATCATTTTGACCATTATTGACCAACTAAAACATACTTCACATCATCTGATATATCGTCACTTTGCGGGTCATAAAGTAAAACATAGGTTTTCAACGTTATAGGTGTGAATTGCTTTTTGAGAAAGGGACAGTTGTAAATCTACCCCGTTAACTTTTTGAGAAACATAGGCTCGGCCCCGCCGGCAACTAGCGAGGTCGGCCTCGCCCAACGCTAGCGAGGCCGAGCCTCGCCATAGGTTTTCAACGTTATAGGTGTGAACTGCTTTTTCAGAAAGGGACGGTTGTGAACCCAGAGGAACTTCAAGAGGAGAGCTATTGATTTGGCTGATTAACAGATCGCAAACCGAATTTTGCTCAGAAAAAGAAGAAGAGACAAAAAAAGAACAGGTGCATGCCTACCAAATTGTTCACCGGAAAACAATACGAATGGTTTTGGAACTTTGATCAATATGCAATATCGTCTATGAACTTTTAATTTGTTCAATGTGCTTTCTGAACTTTAGTCTAATATTCAATGTGATCCCTGAAATTATAAGCATTTTCATATAGTCTAGGAATTACATTGAACATTTATCAATAGTTTAGAAACCATATTGAACAAATTAAAAGTGTAGAGACGATACTACACATTAGGCCAAAATTCAGATATCACATTATATGAATTAAAAATTCATAAACGACATTGCACATCTGACTAAAATTTAGGGATAATTTGTGCTATTATCCCATATTCGTAGTTACTACTAGATGCATGCAAGTATTGTCTACTGACAAGGTAATAACGTTTTCAAGAGAATAGAGTAAAAGTCCTCGAACCCTGAAAAGTTGTTTTTACTGTTTCTCAATAACTTCCGATCTCGCATAAAGAAGTGTCTAAATAGACTTTTTACCTTTTTTACTTTTTGCGTAATTTAAATTTAGCGAATGACGCACTTTAAATGTTTTTATCCCGAAACATCTAAAACTTTCACAACAAATAATATATTATCACCTAGATTCACATACAGTTTGTTTCGTAGTTTTTCTAAAATTTGGATAATATTTTAAATTTTGACAGGAATATAGAAAAAAGTATTTTTCACTTTTTACTTAATCCTAAACAGACAAGGACTAAGTTAACAAGAATGAAATAGATATAGGCTTCGGTAGTGTTATATAAAATAGTTCCTCTTTGAACCATTTAATTTCTAGGTAAACTTTAAAAACATAAGTGGAGTATTAAAAATACGCAAAATATTCTCAAAATAGTTACTAATTTTTGTTTAGAGGAAAACACGGGCCCATTGGAGCCTCCAATAGGCTGAGGCACGAGAGCCGGCCCTTATCTTGGGTGCACGCCTAGAAAAATATAGTGGCCGGAGGTACTCTTCCTGAAGACAACTGTTTCGTCTGAAGTCTCGTTAAACACAAGGGTATTATTCCCTGAGGTGAGAGAAAAAAATACTTTCCCCCAACGAGGGGGGCAAGGTATGCGGGATTTGTGCTCTCTATCCAGGGAATACCCCCAAGTTTTATGTCACAGAATTCACGCGAAGTAGTTTAAGGGCATGCTCACGTTCAAAAGAGTTATTAATATCTAATTAAAGGAAAACATGGGCCCGATAAAAAATGAAATCCTCTCAATTGTTTCGTACCAGCTACCCGTAAAAGTTGACGTACGTGATATAAATGTACAACCCTTTGAGGAGAACACAATGCATCTCCGTATAGACACGAACCCCCTCGTTACCGTCTGTACCCTCCTCATTACTGCCCGTGGGACTCTCACCGCATACGGCTTGCACAAAGGCTCCTAAATCCATCCCGAGCCTTTTCTTCCACCTCTCCTCTCCAATCCTCGATCCGAAGTTCCAAGAGACCCGAATTGTACTCGAAAATGACAGAACGAGCATGGCGACAATTGATCACCAATCTGGCTTCGCTGCACCAAATCGGGGAAAAGTCCAAACACGAAGATCGTGATGACCTTGTATTCATTAATATGATGATTTTGTTAGAGGCATGTTTACATCAATGTCTAATCTACAATCTCCTCGTATCCATCTCTCTCTTTATATATGTTAATGGCCATGGACTAAACTTATAAAACACTGCGCATCCGTCGGATGATGAGGAAACAAAACGGGTATTTAAAAAGAATCAACTCTTTATAAAGCTCGCGCGTTTCTCCCGCCTTTCTTGCTAATGAACTCACATAATCGGCACGGCAAGGTGTCGAGGCTTGTCGCACGTGTGCTTCCATAATTACCTAACACACCACATCTCCTCCACGAGTGGTATTCGGCGTAGGCAGTAACTTGAGTAGCTTTTTTGCGAGTTCGTTCCTTTGAGGAAGGCAACGAGAGGAAGACCAATAAACCAGCGTCCCCTGGAGTGCAAAAACAGGATTTAATACATTTAAAGGATCATAAGTTAATAGGGAGAGAATCAAGATGAGACTCGAGAGGGATTGACGAGATGATCACTCACGTTGTCCTTATAAGAAGACACGCGGTAATTTCGACCATTGTGGAAAAGTGATCCAGCATAGGTTGACTGGACATCGTCTTTTGCATGGTAACTGATGAATATATCTTCTCGGCCTGATCTCCTTTGGCCAGCCTCCAGATCCATGTATACGCGTAGTGGATCTCCATTGCGCCGCTGATATTAGCATGTTCATGATAAAAGTGTCAAAAAAGTCCTAAACTTTTTGCATTGGTGTCAATTTAGTCCTAAATATTTTTTTTTACTAATTCAGTCATAAACCTTTTGCATTGGTGCCAATTCAGTCCTAAACTTTTTTTGGTGTCGATTCAGTCCTAAACCTTTTGTATTGATGCCAATTCAGTCCTAAACCTTTTGCATTGGTGCCAATTCAGTCCTTCCGACTAATAGCTATTCATGTGTCGAAGGACTGAATTGGCACCAATGCAAAAGGTTTAGGACTGAATTGGCATCAATGCATAAGATTTAGAACTGAATTGATACCAAAAAAAGGTTTAGGACTAAATTAGCATAAATACAAAAGATTTATGACTTTTTTGATACTTTTCCCGCATGTTCAGTGAGAGACGAATCTCTCAATTAAAGCAGCAGCAGCAGCATGTCAAACAAATTTCATGGAAGCAGATATCAATCCGGAAAATTAAAGAAATCCATTCATGTATAAGCATTTAAGCTGATTGTGAGCTGTGCCAGTGAAATAATTTAAGTAGAGTGATTATTACCAAAAAGCAAAAACGATCAAGACAAACAGCAACAAGAATAGGACATGAAGAATCTATAAACGTAGAAGCATGAACCCCATCTGACCAGGAATAAAAGAGCCTAGCCAGTAGCATTCTTTTTACTAATTCAGTCCTAAACCTTTTGCATTGGTACCAATTCAGTCCTAAACCGTTTACGTTGGTGATAATTCAGTCCTAAACCTTTTGCATTGGTGCCAATTCAGTCCTAAACTTTTTTTGGTGCCAATTCAGTCCTAAACCTTTTGTATTGTGCCAATTTAGTCCTAAACCTTTTGCATTTGTGCCAATTCAGTCCTTCCGACTAATAGCTATTCATGTGTCGAAGGACTGAATTGGCATCAATGCAAAAGGATTAGGACTGAATTGGCACCAAAAAAAGGTTTAGGACTAAATTGGCACCAATGCAAAAGATTGAAAACTTTTTGACACTTTTTCCAGAAAATAGGATACGAATGAGTATTTCCAAGAAAATTGGTAAGCTCCAGTTGAGCAAAACTGGCGCTGAACCGAACAAAAACAAGCTTCAAGGGACAGCTTCCAGGTGCTTATTTTTCAAGCTTCATTGCATTGTCCATGTGTCACACTTTAGTTTAAAAAAAAAAACCTTTATGTTGGACTGCTATGGTTCACAAGTAGCACTCGACCAAAAAAAAAAAAAGCAACTCAATTGGAAACTGAACCAAAGAATAGCTCCCAGCGAAGGCAACCTAAACCACTAGGACCTCTACCTACAAGATTGACCAAAGGTGATTTCAAGATCACATACACGGATATTTTAACTTGACCACGGCCATGTTGCAATCTCAGACCAACTTCGTATGACATTACTTTGACAAAAGCCAGTAGTCGCAAATCCTTTGGTCGAAAACATTCAAGACTATAAGTTTAGTGGGTTGGTTCAAGGGCCTTATGCCACTGTGCCTTACAATGCCATACAATTCAAGATCATTCAATGATCCAACCTCTTAAAGCTTTTGGTAATATTCCAGATAACTTCTCTGCGATATCTAAGATTTTGGAAAAATTACCAAAAGCAAGAATGTCTAGTATTCCAAAGAGGTTAGAAGTGGTTGGGGCTGAGGACTAGGTAACTGGTTCAACAACTTTTTGCCAATGATGCAATAATTCTTCACAAGAAGCATGTAGGGTTGTTGCTCGACCTAAGGCGCAATCTTCTTCACTTCAAGATGAATATTAACCAGGAAATAATCTTGTTAATTGAGAACATGCAACTTCATGAAGATTCTAACTGAAATTTTGGATTCCGCATTTGGTTTTCTTTCCAAAAATTCTTTGCCAGTAGACAAGACGACACAAACTAACAAGTTTTCTGTTGTTAGGACATGTTTTGTATTGGGATGACATGAAGAATGGGCCATCCTTAGGTGCTAAAGTGGTAGGTTTTACCAAAAGGATAGCATGGGAGAGAGTCTTCCGTTTATCTAAAGGAAGGGAGGTTGCACTTTGACAAGCGCTCTCC